TTTAAGAAAAAGAGGAGTAGATAAAAAATAGAAGAGACAGGCGTCCCTTTACGGGCGACGGAAAAGAAAAAGAGCGGCTAAAAGAGGTAAATATATCGAAATGCGCAGGGGACACTGGTCAGAAAAAAAGCATCGAACTTAAGCTAAAAGAATCCTTTAGGAGTCGGGATCGCGGGGAAGAAAAAAAAGCCATAAATAAAAATGAAAAAACCCCAAAGTATTTTTTCCTATGCCAAAAAAAAATCGAGAAACAACGTCCGTTTTGGGCCCCTACTTAAAAAAGTGGGTCCTCACAGTGACAGAAGGAAATGAGTGAGCTACTAAGCCCCAATAGATCAGTTTTTAGAACCCGCAAACCCAGACTGGAGTCGAAGTAAAAATGAATTTTTTATGAGGAGCCACAAAATTTGATTAACAAACCCTTCCGTGTTATTGACGCCAAATGATTCAAAACAGGGATAAATGACATGCCCATGCACTTGCCCGGGGGCGACTCATGGAACTCTGTGTTCATCAAAAATGCAAGAACCCCCTATCACGAGTTTTTCACCCTTTGGGAGAGGGGCAGGGAAAGGGGGTCGCCCCTCAGTTACTAAAAAAACAGAATACCCCCACCCCAAAAAGGGGGGCATTTTTAAAGAAACGAAAAGAACTACGGGACCAATAGCACAAAAACTCCCATATCATAAAATTTTGGGAAAGGGTCCTAAAAAGCAAGTCCCCCCCATTTAGAAAACATCAGTTACAAACCCAGGGCAACATGGGTTTAGAAACAGGTCGCCCCTTTTTTTGCTCAACTTGGATCATTTGAAAGGTCCAAAATGCAAAAAGACAAAAGAATGCAGATGTAATATTACAGACTTTGCAAAAGCCTTCGACAATTCCCATGGCGTTTTTCCCAAAAAAGCGCGAAAGGGGAATAACAGGAAAGTTGGCGATGGATTTTAAAATTTCCCTCTAAAAGAAACCCAAAAAGGTGTCGTAAAAGAAATAAAGTCGAGGCAGTACGGTGAAAAGCTCTGTTTCCCCAAGGGACAGTATGCTCCCATTGGGTTCTCATCCTCATACCGCATAGACAAGGATGTCAGCCACCACCCTGTCTTCCCTTTTCAGATGAACCCGAAAATCTGCATGACAGTGTCTTCCATTGCAGGGACACTGCAAGGCTCCAGGCGGGGGACATCAACCAATCTTTCAGTGGGCTGCAAGAAAACAATTTGAGTTTCAACGATGAAGAAAATTTCAAATTACTCAGATATGGTAAACATGAGGAAAATTAAATCTTCATCAGGAGTACAAACAAATTCTGGCTACAAAATAGAGGCGAAAACACCACGTCAAAGACCTGGGTAGTGATTATGATCGGAGGATCTCACCTTCAAGGCCAAACATTGTATCAATCGCAATCTGCTAGAAAAATGACAGGATGGATAATGGAGAACCTTCAAAACTAGGGAGGCCAACCCTTGATGACACTCTTTCAGGTCACTTGTTCTATCTAGGTGGAATATTGCTGCACTCTAACAGCACCTTTCAGGCAGGTGAAATTGCCGACCTAGAAAATGTACAGAGAAACTTTCACGGCGCGCGTAACGGGAGATAAAAACCTCAATTACTGGGAGGCTTGAGAGTTTCTAAACCTGTATTCCCTGGAACGCAGGGGGGAGAGGATACATGTTAAATACACCTGGAAAATCCTAGAGGGACTAGTACGAACTTGAAACGAAAATCACCACTACGAAAGCAAAAGGACTTGGCAGACGATTGCACATCCCCCAATGAAAAGCAGGGTGTTCACTAAGCACGTTAAGAGAACCTTACAATAAGTGTCCAGGGGACCCGAGACTGGTCAACTGCCTCCCAGCACACATAAGGGGGATTACCAACAGCCCCTGGCAGTCTTCAAGTGGCACTGGAACAGCACCTAAAGGCAGTTCCTGATCAGCCGGGCTGTGCTCGTACGTTGGTTTGGTGCAGCAGCAGCAACCAGCCTGGTTGATCAGGCGTGATCCACCAGGAGGCTGGTCACTGACGGGCCGCGGGGGCGTTGACCCCCGAAACTCTCTCCAGGTAAACTCCAGGTAAATAACATTAGAGTAATAGCATAACAGCATAGTAATAACAGCAGAGTAAAAAAAATGATAACAGCACGAGTAGTAACGCATCACAAGCATGTAATACGCATAACCGCAGTTAACTAACAGCATCACAGCATAGTAATAACAGCATAACAGCAGTAATAACAGCATAACAGCATAGTAGTGACAGCATGACAGCATAGTAATAACAGCATAACAGCAGAATAATAACAGCATAACAGCAGAGTAATAACAGGATAACAGCAGAGTAATAACGGATTAACAGCAGTAATAACAGCATAACAGCAGAGTAATAACAGCAAACAGCATAGTAATTACAAAGACGCAGTATCATGCCCAGGTACGATAGTGGTGATAGTAGGTCACACAAACAACCATTATGTTAATTACTTAATGACTATGACTCTAACAAACATTATAACACAGTCTGAACTACTACAGTACCGAAGATTACCTTCAACTGTGTACTGTCACCGTCAATGTTTTGATGGTGTTGTTGGGTTGAAGGTTTGTGACGGTCCTTGGTCCGTATGAACCCTTCAACTGTGACGGTCCTTGGTCCATATGAACCCTACAACTGTGACGGTCCTTGGTCCGTATGAAACCCTTCAACTGTTGACGGTTCTCCTTGGTCGTATGAACCCTACAACTTGACGGTCCTTGGTCCGTATGAACCCTTGACAACTGCGACGGGTCCTTGCGTCCGTATGGAACCCTACAACTGTGACGGTCCTTGTCGTATGAAACTCTACAACTTGTGCGTCCTTGTCCGTATGAACCCTACAAACTGATGACGGTCCTTGGTCCGTATGAACCCTACAACTGTGACGGTCCTTGGTCCGTATGAACCCTACAACTGTGACGGTCCTTGGTCCGTATGAACCCTACAACTGTGACGGTCCTTGGTCCGTATGAACCCTACAACTGTGACGGTCCTTGGTCCGTATGAACCCTACAACTGTGACGGTCCTTGGTCCGTATGAACCCTACAACTGTGACGGTCCTTGGTCTGTATGAACCCTACAACTGTGACAGTCCTTGGTCCGTATGAACCCTACAACTGTGACGGTCCTTGGTCCATATGAACCCTAACAACATGTGGACAGTCCTTGGTCCGTATGAAACCCTACAACTGTGATGGTCCTTGGTCGTGTGTGAACCCTACAAACTGTTGACGGTCCTTGGTCCGTATGAACCCTACAACTGTGACGGTCCTTGGTCCGTATGAACCCTACAACTGTGACGGTCCTTGGTCCGTATGAACCCTACAACTGTGACAGTCCTTGGTCCGTATGAACCCTACAACTGTGACGGTCCTTGGTCCATATGAACCCTCAACTGTGACAGTCCTTGGTCCGTATGAACCCTAAACTGGACGGTCCTTGGTCCGTATGAAACTACAACTGTGACGGTCCTTGGTCCGTATATGAAACCCTACAACAGTGGACGGTCCTTGGTCCGATATGACCACAATGTGACAGTCCTCATGGTCCATATGAAAAATACAACTGTAACGGTCCTTGGTCCGTATGAACCTACAAACTGTTGGACGGTCCTTGGTCCGTATGAACCATACACTGTGCCGGTCTTGTCCATGTGAACCCTACAACTGTGATGGTCCTTGGTCCATATGAACCCTACAACTGTGACAGTCCTTGGTCCATATGAACCCTACAACTGTGACGGTCCTTGGTCCGTATGAACCCTACAACTGTGACGGTCCTTGGTCCGTATGAACCCTACAACTGTGACAGTCCTTGGTCCGTATGAACCCTACAACTGTGACGGTCCTTGGTCCGTGTTGAACCCTACAACTGTGACGGTCCTTGAGTCCTGTTATGAACCTACAAACTGTGACAGTCTTGGTCCGTATGAACCCTACAACTGTGGACAGTCCTTGGTCCGTATGAACCCTACAACTGTGGACGGTCCTGGTCTGTATGAACCTACACAACTGTGACAGTCCTTGGTCGTATGAACCCTACAAACTGTGACGTCTTGCGTCTGTATGAAACCCTACAAACTGTGACGGTCCTTGGTCCGTTGAACCCTACAAACTGTGACCGGTCCTTGGTCCATATGAACCTATTACTGAGACGGTCCTTGGTCCGTATGAACCTACAACTGTGACGGTTCCTTGTTTTCGTCGTATGGAACCGACAACTGTGACGGTCCTTCGTCCGTATGAACCCTACAACTGTGACGGTCCTTGGTCCGTATGAACCCTACAACTGTGACGGTCCTTCGTCCGTATGAACCCTACAACTGTGACGGGTTTTCCCCCTTGGTCTGTATGACCCTACACTGTGACTGTCCTTATGTCAAATCAATCAATCAATCAATCAAGTTTATTCTCTATAAGGATTACAATGTGGGGTTTACAGGTTTTGGACATTGTGTGGTTTACATGTTATAAAATACTAATTACAGAGGGGGCCACTAGGACACCTAGCATGGCTAGGCATTTCGGGCAGACTTTAATTAATTCTTAACTCTAAATTAAAATAGATTATGGAGTAAGCTGGTATTAAGGCTAAGTGACTATATTATAGTTTGTGAGTTTAGCAATATAAATGCTTTTGTTTTGGCAAAAGACACATATGGAAAATGTATGCACAAGGCTTATTCCTCTAAGAAAAAGGAGGAGTAGATGTAAAATAGAAAGAGACAGGGGCTCCCTTTACAGGCGACGGAAAAGAATAACAGAGCGGCTAAAAGAGGTCAATATATCTGAAATGCGCAGGGAGACACTGGTCAGAGAAATAGCAAGCATCGAACTTAAGCTAAAAGAATCCTTTAGGAGTCAGGAATCGCGGGAAGAACTAAAAGCTAAAAATGAAATCGAAAGAAACCCAAAGTATTTCTTCTCCTATGCCAAATTCAAATTCGAACAACGCCAGTATTGGGCCCCTACTTAAACAAGATGGGTCCTACAAAGAGACAGCAGGAAAGAGTGAGTACTCAAGTCCAATATGACTCAGTTTTAGCAAGCCGCTAACCAGACTGAGAGTCGGAAGATCAAAAATGAATTTTTATGAGAGAGCCACAAAATTTGAGTAACACAAGCCTATCCGAGTTATCCTGACGCCAAATGACTTCGAACAGGCAAAATGAACATGGCCCATGCACTCTGCCCCAGGGCCAGACTCATGGAACTCAGTGTTCATCAAGAAACTGCAGTAAGCCCCTATCACGAGACTTTTCCATCCTATGGCAGAGGGAGCATGTGGGACACGGGTCGTCAATCAGCTTACTAAAAAAACAGGAATAGCCCCACTCACAAAGGGGGCAGTAAAGCAACTGGCAAAGAACTACAGACCAATAGCACTAACATCCCATATCATACAAAATCTTTGAAAAGGGTCCTAAGAAGCAAGATCACCACCCATTCTAGAAACCATAGTTACACAAACCCAGGGCAACATGGGTTTAGAACAGGTCTGCTCCTGTCTGTCTCAACTACTGGATACTACGACAAGGTCCTAAATGCACTAGAAGACAAAAGAATGCAGATGTAATTATACAGGACTTTGCAAAAGCCTTCGACAGTGTGGACCCTGCGTAATAGCGCACAAAATGCGCGCTAAGGAATAACAGGAAAAGTCGGTCGATGGATCTTTATTTCATCACTAACAGAAACACAGAGAGTAGTCGTCAAACAGAGTAAAGTCCGAGGCCAGCTACGGTGAAAAGCTTCGGTTCCTCAAGGCACAGTACTGCTCCATCTTGTTCCTCATCCTCATATCCGACATAAGACAAGGATGTCAGCCACAAGCCACCGTGTCTTCCTTTGCAGATGACACCCGAATCTGCATGTCAGTGTCTTCCATTGGCAGACACTGCAAGGCTCCAAGGCGACATCAACCAAATCTTTCAGTGGGCTGCAGAAAACAATATGAAGTTCAACGATGAGAAATTTCAAATTACCCTCTAGATATGGTAAACATGAGGAAATTAAATCTTAATCAGAGTACAAAACAAATCTGGCCACGAAATAGAGCGAAACACCAACGTCAAAGACCTGGAGTGATTATGTCGGAGGGATCTCACCTCTCACAGGACCCATAACATTGTATCAATCGCATTCTGCTAGAAAAATGACAGGATGGATAATGAGAACCTTCGAAACTAGGGAGGCCTCAAAAGCCCATTGTATAACCTCTTAGGTCACTTGTTCTATCATAGGCTGGAATATTGCTGCCTCTAACAGCACCTTTCAAGGAAGGTGAAAGTTGCCGCCTAGAAAATTGTACAGAGAACTTTCACAGCGCGCATAACGGAGATAAAACACTCAATTACTGGGAGCGCATGAGGTTTATAACCTGTATTCCCTGGGAACGCAGGAGGGAGAGATACAGGATTATATAAACCGGAAATTCCTAGAGGATAGTACGAAACTTGTGCACACGAAAATCACTCATACGAAAGCAAAAAGACTTGGCAGACGATGCCACCATCCCCCAATGAAAAAGCAGGGGTGTCGCTAGCACGTTAAGAGACATACAATAGTGTTCAGGGGCCGAGAGCTGTTCAACTGCCTCCCAGCACACATAAGGGGGATTACCAAACAGCCCCTGGCAGGTCTTCAAGCTGGCCACTGGACAAGCACTAAAGTCATTCCTGACAGCAGGGCTGTGGCTCGTACGTTGGTTTGCGTTGCAGCCAGCAGCAACAGCCTGGTTGATCAGGTGCTGATCCACCAGGAGGCTGGTCAAGACCTGGGCCGCGGGGGCGTTGACCCCCGAAACTCTCTCCAGGTAAACTCACAGGTTCCTCATCATTACATTCATACAAGTAATGTATTGTTTACCGTAGTCACCCTGTGTAGACATGTGAGAAAACTTAGCAACCCCTGGTCACTGCAGGTGGTTCCTTCGACCTCACAAGCTTACCATATCTATCCGAGACCTGGATAGTGGTTAGCACCCACAGTACGTCGCTACTAATTAATTGTGGGACTGTATAGATTATATTAGTTTAACTGAATGAAGAGGGGGGGTAGGTTACAGATGGATATATCCATCAAGGAAAAAAACACTTATATATAATACACCACTTACCAGATTTCTCTGGTGGTCACTTGATGTGCTGTGATCACCTAAACCTATCCATTTACAAACATACCCTTAACTGGCCAGTATCAGTCTGCTATAACTAGATGGCCCCGTTACTTAAAAAACCTGTGAGTGATGATGCTCCTATTTCTCCATTCACCATCTCATTTAGATGTCCTGCTACACCGACACGGTTCTTATTCCAGCAGGACGAGGTATCCATTGGTTTGTTCCCGGTTTAGAAGTCGTGACTCCATAAAACCTTCACAATCCTTGAGACAGGAACCCACGAGGTTTCTCAGTGTACACTCTGAGCAAGGCGACTTTATTTCACTTCAAGCACTGTATCTGTCTCTTAACTTACGTGTTATTATCACTGATTACATTACAATTCACAAGACGATTTTAATGTCTCATAATTATTATGCCACATTAGAGGTCACTCCATTTAAGATCTGAGACCGATGAGCGATGATTAAACACGGAT